ATATATATATTTTTTTTTTCGAAATAATTTGCTCAAACCTACGCTTTTGTCATATCTAATTAAGCGTTTATCAAAATTAAATAATACAATGCTGTAGCAGATTTAACAAATCCAAGACTGTTAAATTTAATTTAGGTTGAGCCAAGTTACAAATCTGTAAGGAGAAGCATAACAAGCAACTACCCCATAAATTTTTGGAGTATTACTTAGCGGAAAATCCACTTTCCCATGTTCTCTCTTAGGCTTTCTGTATCTTACTCTGAACTCTACTAATCAACAAAAGTTGAAAAAATTCTAAAATATCAAATGGAAAAAGTGAGCGATTTGGCATGGAATAACCTTTGAGTACTGCAGCAAATGTCTCAAACAAGCAAGTATTTCCAGAAAACTCCAATAAGTGGCCTGGCAAATTGCGCCATCGAGAAGCCGATTAAATATATCCAGGTATTCTACAAAAAGGTTTCAAGTTTTTAATATTTTTTGAGACTGAAGCTCCAAATCCGCATCGTATCCTAGAAACTCCTGCAGAATACACTAAGTAAGACTGTCCACAGAACGGTTAATTGACCGTTTTTTTTCAAGAGTCTAGTTTGCCTTCTAGCACTGCATATCAATTAGTGACATGCAATATAGTTGTCACTCTTGTCGCAACATCCATTTTAGAAGCTTAAGTTCAGCTAATGAGAAGTAAAATGTGTTAGGAGGAAAAAGGAGCTGAAAAGATTCATAAATGAATCCTCCAAATTTTGGTTCAAATGAGTCCCTTAAATTCCAAACGCATTATTTCAAAGGCTTGAAATGCGGTGACTAATATTTTCTAGCCCAAGAATTCTACGTGCCACACAACCGGGTCTCCAGTCATTTCCATTCTTTTTCAAGTTGAAAAAGATGTGTGTTGTTGTAACCATACCCATTACCCAATTCAGTTCATACCTTACTTTGGTGCCTCCAGATTAAAAAACCTTAAGATACATATATCAAACTTTAAAATGAAAACTTGGGTTCTCGAACCAACATGTTGATACGTTACTCAAAGAGTGGAATAGTTCCACTAATCAGAAATCTTCTCAAATGAAAGGACAATAAAAGACGAGCTGAGCAGCCCAAACGTTAAAAATAAAAATACAACAAGAAAACAATCATGATACGCTTTACTGCCTTCAACTGCGTATCAATAACTTTAGCTCGCGGGTAAATACTCCAAATATGGAAGCACAGCCTTGAAAAATCAACCAGTTCTTTGAGGTCAATAAATAAAGCAAAATTAAATTTTTGTAACT